TGGGCCCCCATTCCACCCCCATGTGCTCATAACAGTGTGCACACACTTTTCCATCACAGTACTTACCTGAACAGTGAGTGTGGGTTAATTATGTAACCTGCTTAATGCCTATCCATGCCGGGAGAACGCATGGGGGCAGGGGGCCTCACAGTACCCCTCATCCTTAGCACTGGGGCTGGCATTTGGCAGGCCCTTGATAAACACTTGCTGAATGAATGGAACTGGATAGGGAGGATGAGTTGAGTTTGGGGCAAAGGGAAAAATCTGACTCCCCCTCACTGCTGTCTGACCCCAAACCAAGAATACCCCATAAGAAGCTGATGACTCAGTTGCTTCCTAATGCATCATTTTCTGTGGGAAGCTGTGTTGCTGGCCTCCCCAGGTGATATGATCTTGGAAACGGTCCCTATATACCTTGTAAGGTCAGTGTGTGAGTCTCCCATGATCCCTATGGGATGTTCGGTTACTGCACACATGGAGAAGTACCAAATGGGATTCCCCAGTGCAGGTGTCTGCTCCTTTAAGATCTACACCAGTAACTTCCCAGAGCCAGAGTGAGAGTTCTTTCAAGCTGGCTTTGAAGGTATCTGAATAGAAATACCCCTCATTTGTCCTACGCTAAAATGTAAAACTTACAATATATTTTTTCTCATCAAGCAATAATTAACTTTAATGCTACTCAAATACACTAAACTCAAGATATTTTATGATTTTCGGAGCACCACAGATTTTTTTGTTGAGGTATAATTGACATAGAACATTATGTTAGTTTCAAGTGTAATGAATTTAATATTTGGCTAGAAATGTGGTTTTCGTAATGCTGTAAGAGAGCGCCACATCTCTCCTTCAGTCACCCGGACATGACACAGTTTTACCTCCCTTCCTAATTAGCTTATAGAGGAGAGATTTGCTTCAAGGCATGTACCCATGTAATAAAGGTCCTTGTTGCCATATTTAGAAGACTGTGTCCAACATAAATTCCACTCCCAAATCTCTTTCTTATAATGAACCTCCATCAACATAATGAGTTCCTTGGAAGGAAGACATTGTGTAAATTAAAAATACTAATGAGTCATAATGATAATGAATTATTTTCCCTATTACTGGGAGCAGGACTAACCTTGGGCACATTTTCCAGTAGCTGAAGGTGCCTTCCCTATACCTAGGACTGCCCTCCTCTGGGACCCCGTTCTCTAAAATTTCTTCTTCTTCTTCTTCTTCATCTTCATCTTCATCTTCATCAAAACTCTGAATCCCCCAAATGTCCCTGATCCTATCTGGTCAGTCTTGGAGGAAAGGAAGTTACCAAACTGGTTCACACTCAAATATGAGTGACCAAAGCATCTGTTAGCCATTTCCAACAGTGCCCTGCCAGTACCACCTGGATGTTGTTATTTTTTTTTTTTAAGATTTATTTATTTATTTGAGAGAGAGAGAGAGAACATGTGAGCCAGGGGGTTGCGGTGAGAGAGCGGGGGGCAGAGAGAGGGGAAAGAATCCTGAGCAGACTCCATGCTGAGCACAGAGCCTAACGTGGGGCTGGATCTCACCACCCTGAGATCATGACCTGAGCCAAAATCTAGAGTCGGAGGCTTAAGCGACTGAGCCACCCAGGTGCCCCCTGGATGTTGTTATTTTGACTGGTGGCTGATTAGCACAGAATAACTGGCCGACTTTCTAGCTAAGCTGAGTATCTTTGGGACTGTTAGGTTATAAGTAACAGGAACCCACTCAAGCCAAATGGGCAAAAATAATTTGTTAGTGGGCTACAAGGGCACGGCCCTCACAGAACTCTGTGGCAGAGGCACAGCTGGGCTTTGGGCGGGTCAGGGATAGGACAGGACTGCTGTGAGGAGGCGGGGTAAACATCTCCTCTGGGCTGGTGGTCCACAGGCGCATCACAACTGTTCACTCTCTCCTCCTCTGCTTTTCCACGCATGGGTCAAATATGGCGCCCTTGAGTCAACCTGCCCTCAGTGCAAGGGTTCCGTTTCCACACTCTTGGGGGAGGGGGGAGCTTGAGGCCACATGGGACAAACACAGTGCCTGGCTCAGGGTAACAACTTCGTTATGTGTTTTTTGTTTTAGACAGGATGTGGGGCCCACCCCTGAGGGGAGGGGTCGGGGTACCTCTCCAAAAGAAGTCTACGACATCAGGCCAAGGAGTTTTTTGCTTAGTTCAGTCAGGAACCCCGGATGTTGAAGGGCTTTGGGGGAGGAGAATGGCATTGATTTTTGTTAATAACAGGCCTGTAATAGGCTCTATATGAGTGGGGCAAAGAGCTCCTGGTGCCAAGTTCATCCTCAGGGAATAATGACTTGCAAACAACGGGATACATTCCCACTCTCTTGGCGTCAGTGTCGCCTGGGACTCAATGTGGTTTAATGAGTCAAGAAAAGGGAGATTTGCCATTTGTTTTCCACTTTGTATGCACTTGCTGGGAACTTGGATAAGTCACCAAACCTCTTTGGGATTCTCTTGATTCCAATTCTTTTAATAAAAAATTTTACACACACACACACACACACACACACACACACGTGCGCACGCACATACATACATACATTGCTTACATATTTTTATGTTATTCTTCCAGCAGATTATTGTTCTGTTTCTCTTTGCTGGCCTGAAAAGACTCTGAAGGTACGTGAGCAGGGCCTCAGAAACCCGGCTGGGAGTCACGAGGATTATAAATCACTAGTGGTCAGAAAAAAAGATGCTTCTCCTCCTTCTCAGGGAGGAGAAATGTGTGCTGCGTGTGAAGAGCTACACAGGTTCTTTATAATGATGAAGCTGGTGATCTGGTAGGCAGAAGGCACACAGAAGGAAATGATATCTCAGATCTGCTCCTTTGGGAGGTGGGTGGGCATGGGAGAAGGGCACGGAAAGGCCTGTTTTGTGGCTTTGGGATGAAGGAGATTTTAAAAAGATAGAAAAGCGCTTGAAGGGCCTGTTGCTAAAAACTGTGCTGTTTTCTCCAGGAGTCTTTAAAAAGCACCTACCACTTGGCTGTGCCCTAGAAGAGAGAATTTGGCGGGATGAATGGTGCAGCCAATCCTCCTGCAGGTGACTGTTAACATTTAAATCAGGTGTGTTCTCCTAGGGGATGAAACAGGAAACAAAACACACAACCATCTCCTGGGTAGGGTGGGTAGGTGCAGAGGGGCTCACCCTGGCTCTCCTCCATCCAAGGCCAGGAGAGAGGAGGTGTGCCCAGACAGGCCCCGTGAGTGAGCCCAGTCCTCAGCCTCGCTGGGCATGGACAGCTGGGCCTCCCGGAGGAGGGGGCTGCAGGCCTGCTGTGTGGACCCTCCTTCTAGCCTTCATTTCCTTTACTCAGGAGTCATTTATGACAATCCGTCGTGGCAGGCTGACGGGACCGATAGCTTTTGGCAGAAGTCCTTTCTTCTCGCAAATTAAATCACAGAGAGCGCCACGGGCAGTGAATACAAAGAAAGTGTTCAAGGCCACTGGATGGAGGGGAACAGCTGTTGGAGACCAAGTGTTCATGAGACTTCAAAATCCACATATACTAACAAGGCAGGCCCCTCCAAAAATAAGTTGGGACGTGGACACCTAAGAATGCAGTCTGGGATGAAAGTCAAAACTCGGAATTACAAATAACAATACAGAAATGAAATAACTACAACAGACATGCACCGAGAGCTTCCCGGTCCACGCACGCGTTTTTCTCGTGCCACAAACCCCTCTGATCCTGGGAGGGGGGCTGGCCAGCTCTGATCTCCCTTTTACAAGTAAAGAAACCAAGGCTGAAGTTGCTACGGTGACTCGCCCTCCGTCACACCGCTGGTAGGTGCCCAGATCCAGGCTCCGAGCACCCTCCAGGGCCCTGTCCGTGGTGCCGGGCTTCTCCGGTGGGGTCGGGTGCTGAGCCAGGCACTGGCAGCGGTGGGTGGAGCTGGCCAAGCAGAAACTTCCAGCAGCAGCCCAGAAAAGAGCCCAGGGTGCTGGCACTTGGAACCCTTGCGTATTTCCCACCTCACATTAAAAAAATATACAGATAGATGGGGTGCCTGGGTGGCTCGGTTGATTAAGTGTCCGACTCTTGGTTTTCACTCAGGTCATGATCTCATGGGTCTGGGATTGAGCCCCATTTCAGGCTCCTCGCTCAGCCTGGAAGATTGAAAGAGTCTCTCCCTCTGCCCCTCACCCCACACATGCGCATGCATGCGCGCTCTCTCAAAATAACTAAATACATCTTCAAAAAATAATAAAAAACAAAAAAATATAAAAAAATACAGAAAGGCATGAGGACATACAAATAAGAGTTCCACCATTCACAGATAAGCATTTTAAACATTTTAGCACACCAAAATATCATCCTTGGAGATATTTCCTGTTTCGACACCTTTCCTCGCAAAAAATGAAATTCTGTTGTGCCTGCCGTGTTGCAACTTCTTATTCTGTATATTGTGACTATCTCTCCAGGTCACATACACTTCAATAGTATTTTTTTCTCATTTTGTTAAAAATGTATGTTTTATGATAACAGAAATAATCCTAGAATTATAGGCTTATTGTAAAATATTCTAATTCAAAGAGTGCAGAAATGGATAGCAAAGGAAGCCAATGTTTCACTTCATCCCACCCTTGGGACGTAAGCAGTTTTGCTAAATTTCTTATTTCCTGCTCGTCCTTTTCTATGCTTAGACCAGACATAACAAACATACACGCATGTACCAACTTCCCCACACTGTGGGCTCCTAGACTGTGCTGCAGCTGGCATCTCCCCTTCTTCTTCATCTCGGGACAGGAGGCTCCAGTCCTGGGAGAGGAAAGTGTCATGGGACCAGAGAAGGAAGCATCACAGGGCTAGTTACAGTGTTTGGATTTGAAAACCCTCTGGGGTGGTGGGTGGTGGGTGGGGGACGGCAGCGTAGGGGGCCACTTGCCCACCCCTCCTCGGGGCCACTGGGCGGCAGGGCCCCACAGCACAGTTCGCTGCCTGCCGCCCTCCCGGAGCATGCTGCCTCCTGAGGTGTGTATATTCTTACGACTGCCTTGATCCCTGCGTTGCAGGAAGAACTAGACCCCAGAGCAGCGAGTTGACCTCTTGGGAGGTTTTGTAGGTTTGATTTTGTTCCTGATGGCAAGTCGGTGGTCCCACATTTGCTGCCCCAGCTGTCCTAAGGAGGGCATGTTGTCCACGTCCATGGGAAAAGCCAAATTCTGTCCGGTGGACCCATGGGCCTTCTCTCTGGTCACCTGAAATCAGGCAGTCAGGGGCCAGACTGGACAGCATCTGGGTGGGTCTAGAGAGGAGCTGATGATGGCTGGGAGGTCACGATGGGGATCAGCCTGGTGCTTCTTCCTCAGGACACACATACTTCAGCAGGAGTTCCTGACATGTGGATTGGGATCCCCGAATCCTCATCTGGGTGGGTGCCCACACATGGCCTACAAATTCCCTGTGGAAAGGGAGGAAGAAGCATCCACGAGCCGTGTTAGAGACCCCAGCCCTCACCGAAGGCTTTGCCCTGATGTCATCTGAGAGTCGGCAGAGCATCAGGAAAGGGAGGCTTCTGGAGAGCAGGGCAGCTGCGGAAGGCATTCAGGTCAGGGGTGGACAGGTGCATTTCCCGGAGAACATGCTGCTCAGATGGGAGGGGCCGGGCTAATGGAGCCGGTTCTCTCCTAATGGGTTAAAATGACCCAAATCAGAGAAACCAGGAGGAAGGCAGTTTGCGGATGCTGCCTTTTCTCTGCCTTAGTGGGCAGAATGACCACTACCCCCCACCCCTGATGTCCATGTCCTCGTTCCTGGAACCAATGACTATGTCACCTTTCCTTGGCAGAAAGGGACCTTGCAGAAGTGATACTGAGACAGGGAGAGTATCCTGGACTATCCAGGTTGGGTCCAGTATCATCACAAGGGCCATTATAAGAGGAAGGCTGGAGAGCCAGACGAAAAGGAGGAGACGCGCGGCTGGAAGAAGTTGTCCGGGTGGTGCGGCCACAAGTCAAGGAGAGCAGGTGGCCTCTGGAAGCTCGAGAAGGCAAGGCGCAGATTCTCCCCTCAAACTTCCAGAAGGAACACAACTCTGCTGACACCTTGATTTCAGACCTCTGACTTCCAGAATCTAGGAAACACATCTGCGTTGCTTTAAGCCACTAAGTTTGTGGTCATTTCTTCCATCACCAACAAGAAAATTAATACACTGCTTGACAGAGAAGAGGGTTGGGAGGGTTTTGTAAGTTTTTGTTTGTGAATGTCTATTATATTTATTTCAGATACCAGTCTCCTCGGGAGGAATGTTGGTTCAGAAATCGAACACCCGTGATCTACAATCAGAAAGGACAGCACTTAATGGAACGAGGGCCTATGCATAAAACAAGGTGAGTGACGTGGTTTTGTCAAGACTGCATTTTATTAATGTACCACATGGGCTCTTTTCCAAAACAAGGCTGATTCTGGGATACACATTAATTTGGATCTTAGCAGTTGCCAGCAGCACCTGGAAAGTTCCCTGGCCCAGAGGGAGCCCCCCTCTGGAGGAGCCAGTCATGGCTGTGCTCAGACCGGGGCGGAGAACGGGAGGGGGTCTTCCTTATGCTCTTGGGAGAAGCCACGAAAGCTGCCACCTCTCTTCTTGGTGTTTCCCAGGCTTGCCCACAAAGAAATTGGTGAGGGCTGGTGCGCCCCTCCCCACCCCTGAACAGGAGGGAGCCCAGCAGAGGTGCCCTTGCCCTGAACGGCCCAGAGGGAATAAGGATGGCGGGAGGTCACTCCTCTCCCCTGGGGGCAGCCCTGGACTCACCAGCGACAGATGCCACAGGAGCCACGCCGGGTTCCCTGGGCTCACTGTGAAGGGCGTGCACAGTCCATCCTGGAGGAATGAAAGGCAAGGGTCCAGATCTCTTACCTGATCTTAAGTATGGTCATACTGCTGTATGTCAGGTGTGACACTTATTTCTAAAAGCCCGATCTAGAACTTCCGCATTGACGTTCTTGCCCTTAAACTCACCGGGTGGGGCTCCCTCATTGTGTGCGAGGCTGCCAGCACCCATCAGCTTCCCTGTTGTTGGTGTCGACTGTCTCAGAGGGCCGCCTTACCCGGCACTCCCACCTCCCCCTCTGCCCTCTGTGCGCCCTGAGTGTGCCCCACTTTTGCTCACTGACTCTGCAGACCAATCCTGGCAGATTATTTCCCATGACTCAAAATCCTGACGTTCCAAAGAGCCACACTTCTTTACAGTTTTCCCAGGGGGCATGGGAATAAACCACTCACTCATCAAAGAGGCCCGGATGGAGTTCTTTGCAAAGCATGAGCAAGCAGACCCGGGGTTGGGCAACAGCCGTGATGCAGTGGAGGCTCACGTGGGGTGCAGGGGGGGAGGGTGTTCCAAGCATCTCCATTATGGGTCCCACACGCCAAGGCAGGAGTTAGTTCAGGTATTACTGGACACGTGCTCAGTGCTAGCCTGCGCTGGGGGCCTGAGCTACGACAGCCAGCGGGACAGACCCTGCCCTCACCCAGAGTGCGTACAGCAAAGGACAGACGGGCCCGACCCGCTTGGGAAAGGGGCAGGTCTGGGCGCTAATTTCACAGGTAGGGGCTCGGGAAGTCCCCAGGCAGTGTGCAGCGTGCTCTCGTGCATTGTCACCAGTGTTCCCTTGTGCTCCTTCCACCTCCTGAGGAGGGGCCAGGGTGTAGCACTGGGTTCCACTGAGACGCCCATAAAGACCGGATCAGGAGGACGGGGAGGTCAAGGACGAAATCTGTGCACACTGCCGTCCCACATGGGCCCGGGTGGGGCCTTGCTCTGTGTGCCTCCAGCCAGCTCCCTTGCCTCGCACCTAGGGGGGTCTTCCCCTCTCCAGTTGCTCATCCCGCGCCCTTGTGCAGAGGCAGCAGGGGCCGCTGCCGGAGCAGTGGGCCCGAGGGCACCCAGCCATCCCGGGCTCATCACGCCAGGGAGGTCGCAGTCTTTAATTTCCATGCGGCTTTCGGTTCATCTAAAAATATCTGAGCAGCCACAGGATTGAATCTCCCCAGGAATGACCTAAAACCAGTGTAATGAGGACTGGGGAATCGCTTCATTTCCATTTAAGAGGGGCACGTTGGGACGAGAAAGGGAGAAGCCTCAGCTTCAGAAGCAGAGCTTTTGTCTCCAGCTTGCCTTGTGCGTGGCGGAGGGGGGCGGTGCTGGGGTGGGGGTGCCGCTAGGGTGCCCCCTCCTCCGGGATCCCTCCCGACTACAGCGGCCTGGTGGCCGAGGGGGCTGGTAAATACGGGCATTCCGGGCCCAAGAGGCATGAACAGGGGCCCAGGGAAGTCAACAGGAGACCGCTGGGGACCTGGGGACAGGCTCAGGCCACCTCACCCCCACCCAGGTTTCTCAAAATAATGAGCGTGCAAAGGTAAATAATCATCCCTAAGGAGACAACCAGAATTATCCGGGAGCCTGTTGGAAGGGCAGGGAAGGGGAGCACGGCTCTCTTGGGGATCTGCCCTCCCCAACTCTACAAGGAGCTTTCGAAGGGGAGAGACCTCCTCCCCAAACAAGGCAACTAAACCCAGCTGCGGTCACAGCAGACACCCCCCCCCCCCGCCCCCCGGACACCGGAGGTGCCCCCTGGATACACTGCATGTGTCCTCACCACCCCCATGAGGGGGGCCCTGCAGTCGCCCTGTTTACAGGCGGGGAACCAAGCACAGAGGCTGCCATCCCTGCGGGCCGCCACAGGATTCCGGGAGCACAGTCGCCAACATCGCCATCCCCTTTCTGAAAGCCAGTTTGTTAGAAGCCTAACATTTGGATAGATATCCTTGGAGTTCATCCTAAGAAATAATTAAAGATCTGGAAAACGAGGCTGCTCATCGCAGCACTAGTGAGAGGAGAGGGAGGTAATAAATTATGGAACACCTGTACAAGAAATCTGTTCAAACCTGAAAACTCTGCCGTAGATAAATGTCTGTGGGAGAGGAAAATTGTCTGCACTATATCATTAAATGAAGAGATCCGGTTCCAAAACTGTGCGCGCCTTATGATCTGATTTTTGCTACACCCACGCCCCCCTAGAAAAAGGCGTGTGTTGGTGCTGTGGAGCATCCCACGGAGACCTGGCTTGGAGACTTGGCACAGATTCGCCCTCTGATGCACAGATCTGAGGAAGCTTTGCATATCCTGTTCTAAATGCAAAGGGGATGTTCTCAGGGAAGCACACATACCAGGAGAGACTCAGGCCAGGCGTGCTGGGAGACTGGCTTCTCAGTTCTAAGAGAGAAGCTTTCCTAAGGGAGACATGCGTGGCTCTGCCTGCCCGTGAGCGCCATCAGGCCATGGAGAGCCCTCAGCCCCATTATTCCTCCCAGGTATGTCATCCTGACAACTCCAACGTCAACCTGTGTGCTTATAAAATCTGTGCTCGCAAGCCCACCACCTGGAGCTGCAGTTTGCCATCTGTCGCCCACAGGTCACAGAGCACCAACAGAGCCCCTCGGGTGTGGGCAGCCCGTCCATCTGTGGACTTGGGAGGCCTGACGGGGGTTGGGCAGGGGCCTGAGCACACGGATCTTGTCCTCCACGAGTGGGACAACAGAAGGCTTCAAATGCCTTCTTTTTGCTCATCAGTATTTCCTCAGTCTTCCATAATAAACAAGTAAGTTTTGCTTCTGTAAAAAGAAGTTTAGTTTTAATTTAAAAAATAAGGCCCCCAGATTGTATGATCCTTTCTATCTCTAAAATCCTCTGATCTCATTACAGTTCTCAAATGTTTACTCTGTTTTTTTTTTTTTTTTCTTTTGTTGGCTTCACAAGAGAACGAGATTTTGTTTCCCAGTGTGCTCACTGCGGGGACACTGTGTTCCCCGAGGTCTGTGGGCAAAGGGGGGTGTAGCCTGCAGCCAGCCCTGGGGCCTGGCGGGGGCGGGGTGACACTAGGTGAGGAACCTCTGTGTAGCCTGGGGCCAGGATGGGGTGGGAGGATGAGGCAGAGTGACTTGGCAGAGGGAAGTAAAGCTCTTCCCCTTCTTACTATATTCCTCCCTGAAAAGAAGAAAACACTTCAGCAATCCAAGAAATCATCAGCCAGGATCCTCAGAGAGGCCAGATTCATTTGAGTGAGAGAGCTAACTCAGGAGGCAGGAATCTGAGTGTTTAATCCCCTTTGGCCTCCAGTGTGGTCCTCCCAGTTTTGGAAGGAGACCCTGTGTCTTGGCATGCAGAGGGGCGAGGGACTCCGCAGAGGATCTTGCTCTCGGGGGATGGGCTGGCACGGGTGTCCATGTCCCAGAGCCTGGAGGACACAGGACCCAACACAGTCCCAGGCTCGGGGGAGCAGGACTTTCCACCCAGGCCGAGGGGCGACACCTCAGGGGCTTTGTTAGAAGAATCTCTGGAACCCGAGCAGCTTGGCTAGATGTTTTGCTTTTTTTTTTTTTTTTTTAAGATTTTTTTTTTTTTTTTGAGAGAGAGAATGAGAGAGAGAGAGCACGAAAGGGAAGAGGGTCAGAGGGAGAAGCAGACTCCCCGCCGAGCAGGGAGCCCGATGCGGGACTCGATCCCGGGACTCCGGGATCATGACCTGAGCCGAAGGCAGTCGCCCAACCGACTGAGCCACCCAGGCGCCCTGGATGCTGTTTTGAAGGAGAAAGAGAGAGGAGTGTATGATCACATTCCTTTGTATTATTTATTAGTGGTATTGGTATTAGAAAAAAGCCAAGCACACAATCTCTTCACTTGAGAATTCTGTCCATGTCTCTGTTCTTCCTTCTCACGGCTGTGAGGCTGTCAGTAGGGGGTTCCACACCAGGTTCAAGGACAGGGTGTGCTCTGGGACGCAGTGGGGTTGGGGAGAGGGACAGTGTGCTGTGCCTGGCCTCACTCCTGCCACCCTGCACACCTCCGTACAGATTCTTTCAAGGGGACTTCCTGTCTGTCTGTGAACCCTCTTTTTCTAACTCAGGCTGGGAGCCTCTCAAGGTGGACCCTTCCCTCCATGAAACTCAGGGTAGGGTGGGATTGTCCCCCTTCCCCCATGACTGTGCCCAGGCTTTGCTGGTGAAACGTGTCCTTTGCCTGTTGGGGTGGGTTTTGTAAAAAGTGCCTCCCCTGATTTTACACCCCGCTTTCCCCCCATCTTTCTGAACTCAGTGGGTCCCTGGAGAACAGAGGTCCTCAGGTTGTGATGCCTGTCATCAGAGTCCTGGGCGAGGCCAGGCCCCGAGGGCCCTGGGTAAAGGTGATCCCCCCTGGAAGGTGAAGGGTCATCTGGGAAGCTGACCCAACGCCGGGGAACGGGATCTGTCCAAAGCAGCACTGGGAAGCGAGTTAGCCGTGACTCTGCTTTTCTATTTCTGGCGGCCTTTATCTGTTAAGGTTTCCTTCTCTAGCTGGGCTGAGTCCCGAGGGACAAGCTCTGGGAGAGGAGGTGGGCTGGGAGGAGAGGGCACCAGAGAACACTTGACCTCGGGCGAAGCCAGGGTCTTCTCTCTGGATCTTGGTCCATTATGGACAACCACCCTCGCTTGAGCTGTTATGAGGCTCTGGTGACCTGGTGGCAGTGAGGGTGGTTGCCTCTCCCCTGGCAGCCACCTGCCAGTTCCTGAACACATCGCACTCCCACCCACCGCAGGCCCCACCCCACCACACCCCTGTCTGGAGACCCTCCCTCGGCCCCTTGCGCAGGGTCTGAGTCAGTCACACTCCGCTCGACTCTTGTCCTCCCCTGCTTGGTCTCCCTCCTGTGGCACATCAGGACCCTCAGCCGTGTGGGCCCTTGCGGGCAGGGGTGGCACCTGACGCCCGTGGGGGCCCTGGTGGCCACAGGCACAGGCCAGTCAGGGAGCTGCCCTTCCCACAGCTGCATTCCCCTCGCGGTTAGATCGGGACCCCGGCTCCACATAGTTGCCTCTTGCTAGGACAGCGTCACCGGCTGAAGAGGAGGAGTTGACGGGAATCCTGGGAGAGCGGCTCAGAGTAAGCAAGCCAGGCCAGCTTGGGGCCAGAGAAGGTATGGACCAGGGGCCATTGAGCAGATTGTCACTTCTGCTCCCTCCTAGACATGCCACTGTAGCTCCGAGGGACTTTGGTGACTCGGAACTTTTACTTTAAAATAAGGATGACCGGGGCCGGGAACAAGCCAAACTTCATCTTCTGTGGCAGGCTTTTTGTTTTTTGGGTTTTTTTCTCCTGTATGAATCTGTCCTTTGAGAATGTGGTCTTCTTAAAAATTCCGTGTTCAAGATCACCCCACATTGTTGGTTTGAGGGAAGCAGGGTGGGAGGCGGGAGATGTGCGAATGGGCTGTGCACGTCTGTCCTCCAGGAGAGGGCCCCATGCTGCCTCTGTCGTGTGTCCCCTGTGTGGCCCTAGGCGCACAGCATGATTATGGGATAGTGCATATTTACATGAACAAATTACATCTGCTTAAGATTAGGAGTGGCTTCAATAGTGCACCTGGCATTCTAGTGCTAGTTCGAAAAAAACTTCTAAATTATACCACCTTACCTCCTAATGACTGCAGACAGAGTTGTAGCAAAATCAACAAACAGATTTAGGAATATCTACATACATTCCTGGTGTTCAGAGTGGAACAACCCTCACTCATCATCCATAGTGGAGGAAAAGCCAGGTGGGCGGTTCCTCAGAGGCGCTCAGACCCAGGCTGTCAGCCAAGGAGCCCCAAGGAAGGGGTTTTCCTGGGTGCGTCTGCCCGGAAAGGGCAGTGAGCATCGGCTCCATTTGACTGCATCCCTCCTTTTCTGAAGAAAGTGGGGCCTCTGGGTGGGGGTTGGGGGTGGGCTATGTTGGCACAAAGAGGCTGGGGGGAGGGGCTGCTAGTCACAGGGGCCATGGTTTGAAGGGCACCCCAACTCCCCCACTCACTGGTTGTTCAATGCCGTGCAAGCCACTGTTTTCTTCTCAAATGTTTTCCTATCTGTAAAATGGGCTTCCTGAGTTTTCAGAGAGGCTTTTCCTAACTGTATTTGCCCTAAAGTCCTTTCTCCTCAGTTGGGAAGTTTATTAACTATGGTTAGAGCAGACTTACGTGAAAGATCAAGAAAATAAATAAGACTATGTGGCCACAGCCCATTTGCTGTGCACAGAGTCCGGGGCAAATGGTGGCTCACCAGCCTTCGGCTCTCCCTGGGGTCTAGACAGGTGTGGAAGCAGCCCAGAGACTTACCTTCCTGCACCCAGGTAACACCAAAGCAGGACTGTTGGGGTGTATGTGTTTCAGCTTGACGACAACAATGATGGGACCAGAGTTGCAGGAAGGTTTCCACAGAGATTTTATTTTAAACCGTGGAGGCAACTTTGCATTGAGAGTCTTTTACATTGGTAATGGCCACAGGCATGGTTCGGTTAGAGGGAACACAGTGAGAACGTGAGCAGAGTTTAAAAACATTCACAACATCCAGCAGCATTGGAACGTAGAACCGGACACAGGCATTTTAAAATTGTTAAATTCTTGCTCAGTCCCACCTGCTCAGTCAGGAAGTCAATGTCAAAGTCTCCAGTGGCAGAGAGCATGGCGATGCCAGAAGGGTTCTGCAAGAACCGCATCTGAGAAATCTGTTCCGGCTTCAGGCTCATGACATCCTCAACCTGACCCCTTGGGGAATCTCATTTCAAAAAGAAAAGAAAAAGATATCCATGAAGTAACATGCCTGCTGCAGCCAGGTTCTACAGGGGCCCCAGATGGACAGCGTGCAGTGTGGAAGAGTCCGTTGCCCTGGTTAGGGACAGCGGTAGGTAGGCAGGCACGAACAGGGGGCGAGCACCTTCCCTGTTGTCCAGTTAATAACAGTTTCTGTACTTTTCATATAAAGATTTTCTTTTGCGAAATGACAGTACATGAAAATAAGTCATTTAAAAAGCAAGGCAAATGGCGTCCAACACAAATATAGGACGAGTACCGTGGTTACCAGTGACACAAGTGTTTGGTCTATACTTCGTATGGATGGATGCTACGGACCTAAGGCTGCCATCTATTCAAATGGGAGGAAAAAAACGTGCATGTAAATGAAATACACTTTGCAAACCATTTTCCCTTTTTGAATTAGAGTTCACCCTCTTCTGATGCCCAGAGAACCAGGAAAAAAAAATATCAAGGTCAGATTCTCAATCTAACCTTTAAACCAACCTGCGGTTCCCTGCCACTTTCTCTCCCAAGAAAGTCAGCTACTGCTTTTGAGTCACAAAGGGGAACATTTTGAGGTATCTTATTGTTTAGTGAGATGGTACCATGATCAACTTCCACCTTCATCATCTTTTGCAGACCTCTCGATGGAAAAATGCAGAGAGCAATTTCCTTGATATGACAGAAGGCAAAGACCTCCCAATACTATACTCCCGCCTGTCGGAGTAAAGTCAGCCACTAGTCCAACAGTAAACATTCATGGAAACACAGGATCCCAGGACTGGAAGGGGTCTCCAGAACGAGCATCCAACCCAGTCCCTCCTCCGGGCTTCAGCCACCCGCCCCCGTCTCTGACAGGGGACTCTCTACTGTGTGTTCCAACATTCCCTGGTGTGCGAAACACAAAGGAGGAATCCCACTCCAATTTTGGACAGATCATATTCTTAGGGACTGCTTTTGTGTGTTAGGCCTAAATAGGCTTCTCAGTGGAAAGCATCATGTTTAAAGGCAAAATTACAAACTAAAACCCCCGAGGGTTGGTATGTATATAATTCTTGGTTATGAAGTTGAGCTGAAGTTGAAAAGTGAACACGGATATTCCTGAATTAAGTTATGGACATAGGACACTTGGCCAGTGAAAGAAAAAGGCAAATGGATGGAATGGCAAGAACCAGAAAGTGCCAAGCCTCGTGGGGGGGGGGGTGCTGGGTCGCCACTGCTGGGCAGAGCCAGGTGTCAGAGGGGGCGCTGCCTGAGCCCTGCCCATGGCCTCTGACCTGTGGGAATGTTCCCTTCCAGGTGGCGAGAGGCACTACGGTGAGAACTCAGCATGTTTCCCACGCTGTACTGAGAAGACCCATGACTTGCAAGAACGATTCGGGCCGGCGGGGAAATGGAGGCTTACACACCAACGGGCTTGGCTCTGTGTACGCCTGTGATGGCGCAGTTGTCTAGAACAGTCTCCTATCACCCGGCATGGTCTTTGCTTTGTCAAAGGGGAGAGGCTGAGCCTGGCCCACCTGTGTCATAAAGGAATTAGCTTGTATGTTCTCCTAGGCCAAGTCCACACATGTAGTGGCCACCAGCTCCACTTCATGGCCTCCGGGGCGGGGCTGTGCCTCCAGAAAGTTCAAAAATTAGCTGCCATGGGTCATTTTAAGATAACCATCCCAGGTCTTTCTAAAGGAAAAAGACAAAAAGCTTAGATACTGGCCTCAGTCAGCTGCAGGAAAACCTGACTCTCAAATGCTGCTTTACTCATGAAGCCCTCATGGTGCTCCGTGTGCTGCCTCCCTCTGAGGTCATGGGGAACCCCGCATAGCCCCCCCCCCACCCCCCCCCCCACCCCAGGACTGCAGCCGAGCACCTGATACTCTCTGGCAACTCCAAACCACTTGTGGCCTCCGTGCACCAGGCTGATGCCAGATCTTAGGCCTGTTTCTGTCTCAGCAGCCTGCACGTCATTTCCCTACTAGACTCACTCCAACTGCACCTTTAACCCTCTGCTCAGGTGTCCTTTCTGCTGGGGGGTCGGCCCCCGGCACACTTCCCCCACGGCCTAGTTCAGAGCCTGGCTTGCAGCGGGCACTCCACAAATGGCTGAAGTGGGCTACACTCTCAAGGATCATCTAAGAGAACTCTGTGTTTAAAATGGACTTAATTTCTGTGTTTCCCAATCAACTTAATAGATATCCACTGTCGGTTAAAACTTACCATTATTTTAAAGGAGAGAAAAAGACTGTTTTGGCAAAGTGCTTTCTTTTACTTTAAAATACGTATCTTAGTGAACGAGATCACTTATATACGATTAGACTATGAAAAAGCAAAATCAAAGGAATCTCATTTAATGAATATTTATGTCCAGTAACTTTGGTACATAGTTTAGAGCTATCCCTTTACTTAAAAGTCAATGTCCAGGCTTTAAAAATGGATTAATGTTAAGCAAAAATAAATTATGCTTTTTAAAAATGAATCTCAAACCATGAAAAGGTGATGTTCCCTAAGAAAGGCAATGGCTGTAGACTCACACTCACTCAAGGCCGGCCTTCAGACAAACAGGGGAGATGAATTTTCAATGCCCTCAGATTTCCACCTGGATTTTGTTGCTGGGGAGGGGTCCTTGAGGAAGAGTGTAGGAAGGAGCTTATGCTGATCAAGACCTGCAAGAATTGCCTCACTGCATAGTACCCACCCCCTCAGAAACAGGGCTGGGGCCAACAGAAGTGTCAGATTCACCCACAAGAGGATCAGGTCTGGTTCCTGAGAGCTGCCTAGAGGTCATTCCTCCTAGTCATGCCATTAGTAGTTAATGTCCAAAAGCAAGTGTCCCTGGAAAATTCTTTAAAACTTTTAGATTCTCTTGTTGACACCTCAAGCTATATCCAACTGCCTGGGATGACCAAATGTTTTCTGCTTGGAACAATCTAGATCTCTGAAGATCCCTTCCAGTTTTGTGATTCTATGATTCCTTGAATAACTGAAACCATCAAATGAGAAATACATCATTGATTTACCTCATATAAAAAGACATGCAATTCCAAGTACTTAATTTAAAACCATCTTTGCTACTGTGGACACAAACCCAGACCATGAAAGGTTCCAGTAACATTTCTTTGGAGAAACCAAGAGCATGTGATTGGTTTTATCCTACCAAATGCAGAACAAGTCTGTGCATGAGATGTGCAGTCCTGCCACTTTCCCGACATGACCATGTTAGGCATTACTTGCCAGAACTGCTGAAGTAACAGAGCAAAAATATATGTAAAGTGCAATTCCAAGAGGGCTAAACAACAACTATGACAGGAGAAAAGACAAGTGCTGGCGTCAGCTTTCACTCCTAACGAGCGAAGCTGCCACCCCATAAAATCCTGGGAAGACACCCGACACCAGCATCTCTCTCTCCATGAGTTACAAAAAAGGGTGGAGACACTCATTGTAAAACTCAAAAATTCACAGTATCACAAACACACACCATTGGTTTGCTAACAAATTCAAGCACCCACACATATAAGGAGAAAGAAAAGGGCAGAGAGGGGGATACTATGATCTATCCGTGGTTTTTGATCGTGACTCTAATCACCAACGAGGTGGCAAGTGGTTTCAACCTCTGAGTGGCTCTGCGGGCTGGGGATCAGCCATGCCGGGAGGGAGACGGCTGCAGTGAAGTGCAGGGTCGAAGCCCAGAGTAACCGCGGTGGACACTCATGACCCAGCAGGGACAATCAGCCTCCCCAGTGGGGTGCGAGCTCCTCCGGGCCTAACTCAGAGCCAATCAGCCTCGCTGGGCACTGATCTATCGCTTCCCTGACACTGTCCTCCCTCTCTGCATATGGGCCACGCTCTGAAATTCAGGAAGGGAAAATAGAGCGATTCATTTCTATTACTCGTTTCCAACACATGGTTTTCTATTATGTACAACTTAGTACGTGGCTCCAAGTTCCAGTAGTAAACTATAAAATAGATATTTGAGTATTTTAAATTTCATTCCCTTTTTAAAGCTCTCTCACAATCATGCAGACAAGACTCAGCTTAATTCTAACAGCCTCGACTGATGGCAAGCAAGGGTAGTGGGGAAGGGGACAGTGAAGTGACAAGTGGTAACTGCTTCCGTGCATGCGTGCGTGCATGTGTGTGTACACGCGCGTCCAACCTTAGAGTGTGGTCACATGAGCTGGTCTGATGTCTCAGATGACGGCCGCCATGTGCCAGGGCTGCACGGGGCACACCCACTGCTCCTGCTTCCCACGGCTGTGGCAACAGAGCCATCCCTAGGAAGAAGCCCCAGCCCCGGAAGCACGCGGCTCAGAGGTCTTCAGAGAATGGGAGTATGGCAGCCGAGGATGGCGGATAGTACTCTTCCCGGTTGGCAAGAAAAGTAATTAATAGTCATGACGGGGAAAAAACAGCTCCCCCCGCCAGGAAGAAGGAAGGAAGGAAGGAAGGGAAGGAAGGGAAGGAAGGGAAGGAAGGGAAGGAAGGGAAGGAAGGGAAGGAAGGAAGGAAGGAAGGAAGGAAGGAAGGAAAAGAAAGAAAAAAATAGGGAGCATTTCAAACACCACCACCAAACACCTGTCAAATCAGAAGGGAGCAAGGTAATGTGGATGGCTTGGATAGTGAAGGGCAAGTAACTGGCCTGATTCTCTGCAAGGCTTCACTGAACCTGGTGATCCTCAAGAGACTCGGTGGTCCCCTGACGCCCCTGACAGGGGAGGGTGAATGAGGTGGGACGTGTAAAGGGCACACAACAGGGCAGGCTCACGGCACACGCCGGCTGCCAACAGGTGAAAATAAGATTTCTAAAAAGGACTCAACATCCTGAGTTGAGCCACTATACACAAGAATATTTCACTTTATCAAGTTTGATTGGATTCCCTTAAAATTAGACTTCTTCGGGTTCATTTTCTAAAGCCCTCTTTTTTTTCTTTCTTGTTTTCTTTTTTTCTTTTAACATTCCCAACTGGAACACGGTATGAGCTGTAGGACTCAGTACCTTTTATGTCTCAGATCACACCGTTTTAGTATGAAGGTGTGCAAAGTGTTCTGCTAAAATACATGAAGATAAAAATCTTTAAATATCTAGTTTTTCAAGGGGAAGAAAATACAGATGGTGAGGAGTAGAGCAGGATACAATCTCGCAGGAAGGAGCACATTCAAATTCAGAGGTGATGTCACGTGGACAAACACATCTTAAAGACACTTCTTTCTGAAGGACATGGGGTTTGGGTTTTTGTTTTGTTTTGTTTTGTTGCATTTGTTTTGAATACTGGAAGGAAGGAAGAGCTATGTGAATCACACGAAAACACCAAAGGCTCAGAAGGCTCCAACTGAAGGGGAAATGATCCAGGCACTGAGAGTCGGAGCTCTGAGTTACAATCATCGCTTCTGGGACGACAGTGGTCGGGAGCAGCTTTCTCACGGCAAAGACAGAACACTGAGTGAGGCAGAAGCACAAGGTCGTATCTACTCAGCCGAACAGGAATGAGTTAGACCTTCCAAACGGATTACTTTTCAGGTGATTCAAGAAGTCAGTCGGAAAACCCACACGAATGGTTTCCTGAACCTCTCAGTCGAAGAGGAGGTCTGTGAAAGCAGAAACACTGAGAATAAAGAGTGTCAATATAAACACATACACCAGCGAACATGAAGCGGAGGGGAGGCGACACAGAGAGAGGGAAAGGGATGCCAACCACAGAATACATGCCCACGTGAAGGAAGCATGGAAAGGACTTTATAACGACCAAAAATATCCCCCAACAGATGCCTTCCTCATCTCTCTAACGCACAGAGCAGCAACGAAAAGGAAGTGAGAAACACATACAAATTAAACGCCCCACACAGAGTTTTCAGTATGCTCAAAACAATGTAGCACAGCCAGAGTGTATAAACCATTTGTTAAAAAAATATCTTCTTTTCTATTGTATGAACAAGTTGAAAGAGTCCCCTTGCCAGTGTCCACTCACTAGCTCCCACGCCAACTCAGCCCGGCTCGCGAGCTTCTCTCGGACTCTCACACGTCTGCTGACAGCCCCAGTAACACAGTGGATTCCAACAACCGTTTCTTGAGTAAATGCTATCTGTCTGCGCCTGGGGTGTCCTCAAGACACGACTGGGGTCATATCCCATAACTGCGGAAAGGAACAGAAAATGCAGGATGAACTGAAATTCCATTGCGTTGAGGATCAACAGTCCTTGTCATTGAATACAAGTGAACTTTTTAATTTGCCAAGCAACTAAGTACTACACTAACATGATTTCTACATCTATAAAATGGTATTTTGCCAAGCAACTAAGTACTACACTAACATGATTTCTACATCTATAAAATGGTGGAGAATTTTCATCCGGCTCGCGCAGAATCTGACAGATCAGGTTCCCTTCTGGGGCAAGGGAACGAACATCTATCAGGCCCCCAGTGGGCCCCCTGGGACGTGCTGTGTCCCTTCCAGATCTTTTCTCATCCAGTCTTCCAAACAGTCTTCCAAGATGTCCCATTTTTCAAAAAGAAAGGAACCGAGGCTCCCAGAGTTTACTTTAAACTTGCTCAAAGTCCCAGGGGCCTAGTGGCTTTGAAGGGGGTTATTTTAACCACCACATCCTGCTGCTACCTCCAAGAAGGGACCAGAGTGGCCTGGGGTGCCAGTGCTCAGCGTGCGGGGTGAGCCCGTGGTACAGCTGTGGCCCCTCCCGTCCAGGGCCTCTGCTGGGGCACCAGATAAATTCGGCATAGTCCTCAGAAAGGCCCTGTTGGAAGGCTTCTGGATTGATTGATCTCACGGGGAAAAGGTCTTGTTTATAACTTGCTGGCTTATTCGAGTCCTTCCTTTCTCTCAATGCTCAGCTCAAACCCCACTTCCTTCCTGAAGCCATCTCCAACAGCCCCATCTCCCTCTACTGAGCTCTCAAGGTAATTCTTGCCTGTATCACTCTTTTGGCTGCTGAATACATGACCTATTATTAACCATCAAAAAGACAGAGCACGTTCCCAGCAGGTGACGTGTTCCCTGAAGCCAAGAGCCAGGTCTTGGTGTGTGCAGGCAGGGCTCTGCACATGGTAGGTTCTCAAAAATGCTCACTGCTGAGAGTAACCTTGTGAGTAGACCTCACACAGTCTTGGGGCTCCTGTATATTGACATAGGACCAAAGATGGAAAGCTTCTAAAAGAAGATGGCGCCCTACCTTAATAACCTTGTCCGTTCCAGAAGTCAGTAACCATCCTCGGGTTGCATCAAAATGCACATGGACAATGTTATGTTTGCTGTCGTGGAAGGTTGCCGTGGGTGCACGTCTGGAAGGAGCAAAGTAAGTTTCCAAGAGTGAAAAGTGGTGACACGTGAATGAAGGAGAGATCTAAGGTGTCATGAAGCTCTAATGTGCAGCCAAATGACTAAGACAAGTGCTTCACTTTAAAACTGCCCCTCATATCTACCTTTATTCCCTGGGAACCTGTTAATGATTTTTTAAAAACGATTTATTTATTTGAGAGAGACAGAGTGTGCACAAATGAGGGGTAGAGGGTGAGGGAGAGAGAGAATCTTAAGCAGACTCTACGCTGAGCTCGGAGCCCGACTCGGGGCTCAATCCCCCAACTGTGAGATCATAGCCTGAGCCAAAACCAAGAGTCCTGGACGCATAACCGACTGAGCCACCCTGGCAGCTTTTTAAAAGGTGAAAGGATTCTTATCTTCTCGAGAATGGGAAAGAGATGATGACATTTCCCAAAGTCTTATGGATTACCTGTTGCTCTGATAGAGCCTATGAAAATCTCATCTATGCCTCTGACAAATCTTAAACACCTCAGTGCTTTTGCTAGGTCTGATCTCAGAAGGACCTGCTGGTATAATAGTCTACCTGTGCCTATTTAAAAAAAAAAAAAAAGCACACCTGTTACAAAGCCTAAGATACCATTCTAACTGAAGGGTTACTCGTTCGCTCTCCTCGTTTTCCTGGTGTAACTGCAGGTTTCGTTTTTCTATGGGATTCTAACACTTCAACAAGGAAAACAATCTATAAACAAACATTTTTATTTGTTTTGTATTTTTTAATCTATGCATTGCTTTAGCAAGAAGGCTTGTCAACTGCCTAGGTGATCTAGAGGCAACGCAGAAAAGGCAGAAGAAACAATGACATGTGGAGGGGGACAGAGACACGGGGAAGGAGGCGGCTGGTCTGTCATCAGGCTTCAAGGGCGCCCGCTCCCCAGCAGTGGGCTCTCTGAAGACACTTTTACCTGTAGCTAGGTCTGTGGGACAGTCTTTAGTATCCTAAGGTAATCACTTAAAACATTTAGAATTCAGAATTTAGGTTTAATGTGCAGCTGCTTAGGCTCCTGGGTCTGTGTCTTTATCTATAAAATGAATAATTAATTTAGAATATCTCTAAAGTCTCTTGCAGCTCTTTAATGAAAAGAACTCTCTAATTTCATCACATATGATGAGTGGAAAATAATCAGTGAATATAAATGCTTACTGATGCAAGGGCATCTTAATTTATATTTGATATGGATAAAGAAGAATGAAAAAAACACATACATTGGGGTTACCCGTAAGAGAATACTTTGGTGTATTAATTGCCACGACTTTCCTTTAAATGCTGACTTCCTCTGGTGCATCTGAAATATGTTTCTATTTACGTGCTGTTTCAAGACACCCATCTAGTACTTAAAATGATTCTACTGCATTCAAGGTGGGGGAGTAGGTGGGGGAGAATCGGGCAGACGAGTTTCCTAGGAAACCCTGCTGTCATTCATTAAAAGGGGAACCTGTCGCAGAGCATTCTGCTTCCCTCTGGGGCAGTCTGCGATAAGCGGCACTGAAGAGAGAACACAGAAGTGCCCTTCCACACACACACACACACACACACACACACACACACACACACACACACCCCACCCCAAAAGCACACTGATTGCAGTAACCTAAGGTCCTGGGTTATCGGGCAAGACCACCAAGCAAGACTGAGTCGCTGGACAACTAGTGGTACTGGCCTCTTAGGTAAAAAGTGGCTCAGCTCTTCCGGAGAAAATGCAGCCTCTGGAGCCCGTGGGCTGATTCAGCTCCTGTAAAAATACCAGCTTGGGCTAGAAAATGAAGCCTGGGTTCCTGCACTCCAGAGCGACTCTCAAGGAAATAAAGGGATGGCAGGGCTGGCTGGAAGAACCCCTGTTGGCAGGGCACCTGCCCCTGGGCTGGGGAAGAGCACAGAAGACATGAGTTCTTGATGCGGACTCTCTTTTCCTATCTCACGAGAGAGCGCGGATGTCTTGGCAGAAAGGAGGGCTCTGCGCCCGGGCCACGGTCTGTATTCGAAACCAGCAGGAACGAGGGCACTGGTGGTCACGGCTGCGGTGCCGGGTCACCTTCTCCCCTTAGCCCTGCTGGAACTCACTCTTCATCGGTGATGGCCTCGTGGCAGCTGTCACAGACCCTCACTTCAAACTCGAAGCCCATCAGAGGGATGGAGGAGCGCTTGGAGCTGCACTTGCCGCAGACGGCCTTCCCACACTTGCGGCAGTGGTGCTGGAGGGGGAGAGAGCACAGGCTTGCTAGGGCTCCCGCAACTCGGCCCCACCTTGTCAGTGCGGGCGTGGCCAACAGCGTCCGGGTGAGGATGCTAAACAAGAGCGCCCAGGAAACGGAAGGAACACACCAGCTGTGTTCTCTTTTTGGGCTCTTTGTTCAAATGGAGAACTGCTGGAAACACATCTGTTTGTGTCACCACACCCACCCCCTACCCCCACCTCCCAACCATAGCCCCCCCTCTGCCCATCCTAGGTCCTTCCCAGCTACGGTTAGCATGAACTCTAGAGGACCACCCGGTGAATGAAGGACAGTGTGACTGCAATCCAGTTCAATCTACTGTCTACACTTTGGCCATGCTCAACTAGGTGACTCACACTGATTTCCTTGGGGAGGACCAAACCCAACCATGAATCAGACTGAAAATGCTATATTATTACGAGTAGCTCTTTATAAATGACTAAAACTAAGATGGCAGGAGAGAAAGTGAAATTATGAACAAGAAATAAATACCTCTTACATAATTCCACGGTTTGGTCCCACTATGAGCTAAGCATGATGCCTTTAATTTTAAGGTGTATTTCCGTAGATGCCACTAGAATTCTAAAATCATATCTCTTAACTACTTGGAACAAGTCACTATAGAAACTGAGTCCAGCAGGAATGAGCTGCAGTAGATAAGGGAATAAATTAACGTGCATTCTCAGAGTGGCCCCAGGGTAGTGCCTGACACCCCCCACCCCCACCCTGCCACAACCCCTGCCCCGGGGGTGCTAGTTCTAAGCTCACAGGTGAAGCTGTCTCCACTCTATTCCATTTTGATGAGGGATCCATATCACCCACCTGTCTTAGGCCAATCTTCTTACTGTCCCACATTTGCTTGAAGTTCCAGAAGAAAGGCTGATCACACTTTTGGCAGGAATCACTGTCCAACCACTCAGGGGTCTTGCGAAATAAAGCACACAACAGGTCACACTGCGACACAGTGAGGAGCCATTAACAGTGATGAAACTTACAGAATCAAGACGTGTTTATAGGAAACAGAGGTGTGATTTCTCAGCCATTTAAAAAACATCTACTGAATGCCTATGGTATCTCGAGCCCTGGGGATGTAGCGATGATAAAAAGAATCTCTCCCGTCATGGGGCTTATAATTTATGAGGGAAGACTAAACAAGACAATATTATTAATATCAATTATTTAAGTAAGAGGAAGTGTAAAGGCCTGAGGAATAGAAGCAGCGCACCAGGTGTTGGGGGGGGGGGTTGGGGGCATTCAGGGGCGGCTGGGGCCAGGTCACTCGCACAGAGTTCTGACGGCCGTCAGATATGTTGACTTTATCTCATATTCTTGGATCACATGCAATTAGATTTGCTCTGGCTATGCATAGTTATGTGTAACTGCACATCCCACATGTGCCCAGCTACGTGCACTGGAGGGTACAACCTGACCGCAGTGGGTGCCCAGGAAAGCTGCCTGTCCACCCTCCGTTCATGGCAGGGCCCAGCAAGCCTGGACACTCTGTGCCTTGCCTCATGGAACACACTATTCTGCCTTTATTCACTATTTCCCAACTTCATCATAAGTACTTGAAACGATGTCAAATGGGTTTAAAAGATATGTTAAGCTTAAAGCTATTCTTTAGCAAATCTTTACAGATTATGCATACAGTGATTCTGTATCTGTTTCTAGAGTTCCATGTTCAACTCTGTACATTTATCATTTGGATGAGGGACAGATCTCTTTACACATATCACTGAACCTAAGGAACCTGGAAAAACATATCCAACCCCAGGGTTTCTCAAAAGTGAGTTCCAGAGAACTCCAATTTGACTCACAGGACACTTAGTATAAAAGAAGCCTGAGATCAAACAAGTTTGAGAAATGTGGCAAACAATGGCCTGTCCCCTCTCTCTACAAGATTTTTTCTTGTAGCTTTTTTCTGTTCACGTAATCGTTTTCTGAAGAAGCCCTGTTACAGAAAAGACTTGGGGATTTAGCCTATTCTCCTACCGATAAGCAGAAATGAACCTAAAGCTACACATTGTCTCAAAAAAGAAAAGTATGAAGGTGACATTTGAAGAGTTCCACTTCTTGGTTATTTATTTTATTAAAACCAAAGAGTTCTTAAGAAGTAAGCTTTGATTTGCTTTGTAATTTTCAAGCTCTAATCAGTTTAAAGACTGATTTAACAAAATGTATAATACAGAGTTTTCAGGAAAAACATTTTATCCCTAAAAGACTTATCTATGTTGTGATTTTTCAAAACACTTACGATGCACGAAAATCAGGAGGATTTACAAAAAATTGTCACACACTACTATATCCTTTATAAGGAAACATGCAGGGTTAGGACATATATCAAATACATGGTAGAGGGTATCTATGAAGAGGGAAACGGGAGTAAGGAACAGGAAAAGGGGGAAAAAATCAGCATGTGTAGTATGATTCCATTTTTTGTCCAAAAAAAACCCGAAAAACAAACCCTGTGCATGTGTTTTTGCAGAGAAAACTGTAAGGAAGGGTATTACCAGTGATATTCCTGGGGTGGTGGTATTATTATGAGCAACTGACATGTTTTCTATTTGTTAAGGGGCACTCTGTAACTTCTCTACAAAGAACATGTTTCTCCATACTTCTAAAAAAGGATACAGTTTTTGCAAAAATGGATTTCATTAACAGTAGAAACACACGTTTAGCCTACAAGATGTGGGCTCAGCCACTCCGCCTTCCATCTGCCCCCCCCAAGCCACCCCCACAGCCAAGCTATCCTCTGTCTCTGACTGCTTCTACTGCTCACGAGCACCAGCACACAGGGCACGACTTCTCTCCTTCACCTTGTCTTTCCTTGTGGTGTTCCCTGTGCCCCTCAGAGCATATCTTTCAGCGCCTATGTCCTTCCACAAACTCTCTGCTGAGAACGTTAGCTGACAATGGTAACGCCCCTTCCTAAATGCCCAGCACTAATGTTCCATCCTACAGCAACTGTAATCACATCATTTATACCATGTAATAGTTTTCTGAAGTCTTCTCCCATATATTTTTTTCTTCCAGAAAGCCTACCAGTGCAGGGACTGCTTCCTTACATGTCTCCGGCCTCTTGAGGTAAGCACTGCACAGCACTGGCCATGACCCCCAGAAGCCCCACAAATACATCTCAGGGGATTTAGGTTTATAAAATACGACACTTGAAAAAAAAAAAATGCCTGGGACCCTCTCTACTCATTTGGGCTCTAAATCACCCAAAGATTCAAGATAGTCAACAAGTTGCAAGTGTCCCTATATCTGCATGTCAAAGGGCATAATTTAAGCAAGATGGCTCAAAGGACTGCCCATCAACCCACTGGATTCATCTCTGGAAAGCACATCATTATCTTCCTTTGGGCCTCTGTCCATCAAGGCTGGATTCTGCGTGCACCCAGGGAAGAGAGCCTGGAGGCTCCCCCTCTGCTGGTCTGGTCAGTTAGGCCTGGGAAGAAGTGGGGACAGACGAGGTGTGACCGTCCCTCACCCAGAGCAGGCTATCGTGCAGGATCTGCAGTCTCATGGCTGGCCAGCACACACTGTACCAATTTCCCTGCCTTTATACTGAAGGGGCCAAGTGGTACTTTCAAAAGCAATATTCTACAATTCCCCACTTCCTAACAGTCATGATCATTTTAATTAGTTACTAATAGAACTCCCACGGATTTATGGTTTGAGCAAGTCAGGCTTTAATCTTCTTAAGCATTTAATTACTGCCATTTGAAAGGCATTACATGGTAGATAATAGCAACTACTCTCTTGAAATGAGATTGGGGTGAGGGCATGGAAAGAAGCTGGGAAATTGCTTTTGTCTTTTTAAAGTGTTGCTCTTCTAATTCTTGCATCCTGCAAGGAAATGCATTAGATGAATATACACCGTCAAAGGGAAAGTTCACCCAGCATAATTCTAGGGAAATGAGAATAAGGCTAACTTCAAAGTTCTTGTCAAGGGGATATTTAGTAAACATGTCCATTGATAAGATGCTTAAAAGATGAGAAAATAAAACTCATAAAAACACAATGCTAGGAGAAAACTTAAATGTATTCTTAAAAACGACAGTGTATATATTTGCATCTGGAGAACTGTTTAGAGCATGATTATAAAGAAGCACAAATAAAAAATTAGTTATTTCTGATATTTCTATTAATATCAAGCTAAGGACTCTTACTTCACCAAACACCATTTCTCACACATTAGCCACCATTCCCTGGCTAACATAAAACACGCGACCGAGTCTTCTGTGTTCCTAGGGCACTTTAAGGGATAATGGTCTGAAAACAGATGGTTCCCTCTTTTCTCACCTGAACTTTGGTTGTGAATGGAGCAACAGATTCAAAGTCTAAACAGCTTCGTCTTGGTCGAAATTTTTATGAAATCACTATTACATGAATATTACACACCAATTTGGGAGGGGTAAAAAAAAAAAGGAATTTTCTTTTCTACTAGAATCTTTTATTCTCTGACATAACAGGTCTTATTTCATGTTTAATCATAGGAGAAATAAGAATTGAGCAGGAGGGGAGGCTGAGGCGTTTTTCAGCCCAGCCAGAACTGCAGAGTCCAGCCCAGCAGCCACGGAGTGGCCCTGTGACCTGCCATGACACCTACCTCCTGCCTCTCCACGTCCATGTTCCAGACCACGATCCCACCGTCACCACCACAGGAGATGAGTTGCCGCGTGTGCTGCACATAGGAAAGGGCCTGGACTTTATCACTGCAAAAGAAAGCCTGGGTTAGTGACAGGTCTGGAGAGCAAGGCGAAAGCCCTAAAGGCAGGACGCCTAGCAAAGTCAATCAATGCGCATGCTCCCCCTTGAGCCCCGAGCACAGATCTTAGAAATCAGTCAGAATCAAAATGTTTACTTAAGATGCTGAGGCCTCAGGACTTTGTCAGTTACCGACACTTGAGGAGAAAAGCTGATTGTTGAACTCCTTGTAAGATGGGACTGACTCCTTCCTTAATTGGTTAATTAAATAAAACCTGTGGTACATGGTCATGCTGTATTTGTTCAAAAGTCATGATTTTACTTTTTTTTTTTTTTTTTTTTTTTTTTAAAAAGGATCCCACTGCATTGACCTGCCAGAGCCAGGTAAATTGTGTTGGTTGAGGTGTGGAGTGCATCATGGTAGCTTACGCCCAGGTGCCATCTCTTGGCTTCCAGGGTGAAGCCAAAGCAGCAACAGACTTGAGTTTTGCTCTCTATTTTCTCTAGTTTTCATTCCCTCTCTACTCACTTTGTGCTTTATTTTTCTTTCCAGTTCATACATGGCTGACAAAGTATTCCCTCTTGGGGGAGCCACCATGGAGTGTCCAGTTCTATGGTCTGACAACGTGGTGATAACAAAAGGTTACAGACATTATTTTCCACTGGGTAAGGGAACAGGGAATAGGGCTTCTTGGTTGTTCCTGTTTGAATATTTTTCTATTTTGAACTCAAATCAATTAAGAATTCTGTGCCCACTGGGGAGGAGAACAGTTCCTTGCAATCTGGACTGGTGTTTGTGTGCTTTCGTGTTTCCTTCTGACCTGTGGCTGAAGTTGTGGGACCGAAGCTGTTAAAGCTCTGCGTGTCTGCGACTACAGTTCAGTAAGGCCTTTCCCTCTCATGTCTGGAGCGCTAGCCTATTGCCAGAGGGCATCAACAACTTAGATTACAGTCTTCTTTCTAATTAAAAAAAAAAAATTTCTTTTTTTTTTTTTTTTAAGATTATAGTACTTTTTAGATTATAAGAACTTGTTCTGTTTGGCTATTAAAGATAAACAAGTGCTTATACAAATTGAATTTTCATAAACTTAACGGAAAAAAGAAAATTGAGCCCCTAAAGCTTAAAATTTACTAGACTTAAAAATCCTTTTACAGAAAATACTAACTCAGTAACATTTTAAGCATCTAAGTTCACAGAATTGAGGTGAACTCTGGCAAGTGAGACGAGTGTGATAAATTTTAAAACACAGCTATGTCTTTCTCTGATTCATCAGTGTTAAGTATGAGCAAGTGTACATCTTATTTTACTTGGGTTGATTTCTTCTAAATATATACAGGATAACTAGTCAAATAACCTAATATTATGCCTATATAATGCTATATATGAAAAATATAAATTCGTGTTCAACTCAACTAAATAATTGTTTTGATAAACTTTTCATATAAATAGCAATTATGTTTTATAGCACATCAAGATAATCCCAAAGATCTTTGGGTAACTTGAAACGGATTACTATACATAGAGCTAACTGATAATCATTGGATACCCACTTAGATAATTTCTAAATAGGTCAGAATACTGAAACTTTGATTACAAAGTATAATATTAAGTTTATATATCTTTGCTTCTCATTTTTTGTTATAGAGAGGCTATAACTTACGTGAGTCACATCCATGAACATGTTCATTTTTGCCACCTTAAGGAGACACAAAAGAGTGGTGTATACTGCAGTAGAAATTTCTGTTGTGTGTGTTCATGAGCTTTGCTAGTCTGCTAAAATGCTTGTATGTGACAGTTCTCAATTATCCACATCCTCCCTCCTCCCAATTTTCTCTATGAAATATAAGTTAGTTACTCTCTAGGTTAATTATTATAATTAAAATGGGTGGCTGAGATTATGCCAGGGGCAATGATGGAAACAAGATACAACTATGTATGGGCTTTTGCTTTTAAAAGAGAAAACAGAGTAGTTGTGTCTTAAAGCAATGGTTCTCAAACTTTTTCATCTCAGGATCCCTTTACACTCTTAAAACCATTTTGAGAAGACACCAAAGAGCTTTGGTTTAAATAAGAAATTACCAATATTTATTGTATTTGAAATCAAAACTGAGAATTTAAAAAAAATATCGATTCATTTGAAAATAGCAATGATGAATCCATTCTATTTTAATATAAATAACACAGACTTGGTGATTGTGATGACAAAAATGGCACTGTTTAACATTTCTGCAAGTCTTTCTAATGTCTGGCTTAATAGAAGAGAGCCAGATAGATACTCATCTCTTTCTGTATTTGTTCTAATAACCACTCATCATGCAGCTTCTGGAAAACTCCACTGTACATTTGAGAGAGACTATGGATGAGAAAGGCACTTCTTCTAAAGTAAAGTATAAATTTGTTCCAGAATATGAGAGAGAAAAATGAAGGACAAAACTTGGAAAGTGAATTTTATTTGCTTTGGTTTATAATACTCAAGTCTGAAAAAAGAGCTATAAAATGCATTAAAATCTTGGCACAGTTCCCTCAGTTTTGATGGCTTGCTTCCTTGCCTTACTGATTAATGCCTTTGACTACAATGCAAAAGGATATTCTTTACCTTCTATAAAATCTGCCTTGCTGGCAAAGATTCTGTGTGTCACCACATTATTTTCAGAGCTTTATGTTGACTTGGTTAAAGACCCAAAAACATCTTTGATAACTCTTATGATTTTGCCTTCCTAGGCTGTACCCTATATTTTGAAAAAATAAAATAAAAACTTTAGGATACTTCCTAAAACCTACAACTATCTTTGAGATTCCCTAGAGGGATCCTTGAGAATTGTAAAGATGTACTCCTCTGCCTTATAAAAAGAGAGATGCTATAAATAACTATATGTGTTTGTTGTGTTGCTATTTTAAGAGTTTCATGGGACAAGTTATCAGAAGAGATGCTCCGCCTTCCCTAGGTCAAATCAGTTTAGATAAAATTTTATTAATGTATGTATTTCTGAAGTTGCATATTTTATGGGAGGGCCCTGGAGGTTTATTGGAGCTCTCATTGTCTATAATATGCTTTCCCCTCCAGGGAAATTATGATCAAAACTCTCAGGAGATAGTTATGTAGGCTATCTCAATAGAGAATTTTATTCTCCTGCATTACGATTACTATTTGTCACAGTAAAAAAAACTAACCATTAAAGTCTTCATAATCTATAGACAATTTCTGTTTTACTTTGATGCTTGCCTGAGGGCTCTGCTATAAGCTACAGGCCAGAAAGGACAATCTCAGAGTTTCACGGAAAAGGACTATATATGTACCAGGTATTTTAAAATACTGGTATTTCAAAAGAGACTCGGGCAAAGGCTACAGAGCTGACATTGCTTAAGTAATTTTTAAGCTGTGCTAGTGGACTGAGTCAGGATTTCCGTGGATTTCTGGACCCTTTTTAGTCTGGATGCAGACAGCTTCATGAATGCAGACTGCTAAACCAAGAACTAGCAGAACAAGAACTAGTTGCACAAGACCGGATGAACTGAAGAGGGACATTTTACTGTGGTTATTTGTCTGGAACACTGCTGATGTTGTTTTAATGTTCTATATTCTGGATACGGGAGGGTGCTTTTTCTCCTACTTGTTATCCTATCTCTAACCTAAAATCTTGTAAACTCCGCTTTTATAAGCTAAATAGAAACATTTAAAAATAATGTCCAGTTTTCAATGATTCCCCCAGAATTCAAAAAGTATTACTGAATCCCCTAATTTTAATGGCAAATAGTTATTTCATAGGTTCAGTTAGCATCTATCCACAGGATATGGTTGGGCAACCAACCGAGTCCTTACCTAGAATGTCATATTAGAGAATGATGTTCATTCAATCAGATATGACTAGCCGCTTGACCTTATGCAATGGCTACAAAGCCCTCCTAAGAAAACTGGCCCTAGTACCTGGTTTGCAGGGTCCTGGCCTTACAGGTGGTAAGGAAACCACCAGGCCAGAAACCTGGCAAATGTTGGAAACTTCAAGGAATTCAACCAAGGTGTAAGTACTACAGGTGACATATGGCTGAGAATATTGGGCTTGGTTTCCTAGTCTTGGTATAGCAAATAACAGAGGCTCTGAAAAGCCCAATTCAGGACTCCTTATAAACAGTTCCAGGCAAAAGTTAATTCTGTGGGCTCGATAGTTGTTTAATAATACTCTATGGCTCTATACTTGCAAAGCAAACCAAGAAGACTCGTATGGGTAATTAACATTCTCACAGCATGATGTCAATAATTAGGCCAAACCTTAGGAGGCCAACCTTCTTCTGTGATCAAGAATAATCTCTGAGATTATCATGATTACAGGAGAGGACAGGGGAAAAACTGTGAAAGAATGACATGGGCAAAAAGAAAGTACTGGCATCTTCAGTGGAGGATCAGGTGTTATTAGGCACACCTTTCTCTGGGTTATCTGATTCTATAGGGGCCTACATCTCGCAGCACCTTTAACTGTGCTACTTTGTAACTCTGGAACTGTTAACCTTAGGTATTGTGGCAAATGAATCTTTCCAGTGAAGATGCAACGAATCTCCATGCCCCCGCCCTTCCCATGGAGGCTGCCATTTGTGAATCTACCTACAAATTCATTTCCGTTCTCCCCTGCCCATGCATACATCTGCTCTTTGGATTTTCCTTTGAACTGGTTGTAACATCTTACTAGTTCCTTTATTAATTAATGACTAATATAAAATCTTGGACAGGTATTCGTTAAAAAGAGAGTCTGTTGTTTTCCAACTCTCTTGGTTGTTATTTCACCCGTCTTAAAGTATGGAGCGCCACCCTTCTGACATTCAAGGGCAAGAAGGAAAATCTATCTAGTGGACTGGTAACCCTGTGATTTGAACTACATTTCATTTGTTAAAGCATCTTGATACACATCAGTGATCTTGTAAACCCAAAATAAGCTACAGAAGGAAATGCTTTGCTACTCATAGCTGGCAGCAACATTCAGCAACAAATACATAATTTATGGGACTCTAATACTG